AACTAGTTTTAGTTAAGATAGGACTTATATCGCTGAAGTTTCTCGGAAAGAATTTCTACGTGAAATTAACAAAGAAGCAGATACGCAACAGTACTAAGGTATATTATGCAATTGCCAACCTTTTATGCTTCTGCTATCACCCTTTTTTTTTAATCGGTAGGGAAGTTCGAAACATCACGATAGTCAGCAGTAGAATGAGCAAACAGGAACAGTTTGAAAGCAGCTACAAGCAAAGTATTGTACTCGGCTTGCTGCACAATATCTACTCGGATGGTTCTAAGCGGTTCCTGAAAACCTCTACGTGTGATTTGGAGACTTCCATGCTGCTTGTGCTTGGCCGTTAAGCTCATGATGCGCTGACGGATTTCAGTCATCTAACCACTTCGATTCACTTTTTGCAGCCCCAACGTTAAAAAAGTGCGGGAAATGCCTTTTTTTAAGCCAATAAACATGTCAAAAAAATTTCAGTTCAAATTAAGAAAAACCGGATTAGGTAGGTTTTTTTTTCCAACAAAAATGTCCCCCACTGGCTTGTGAGGGGCCTGTTAAAATGCAAGTAACAATTTAGAATAATTCTTCTGCAAGGTTGTTTATTACCATTCATTTACTCAACGAGAATTTCACTTCGTTGTTATGAAAACTATGTATAAAGTAATAAATGGAATTATTTTTTAAATGCCCAGCCTTGCAAGACTATTTACGTAACGTAGTTTGTAATATATTGAATAAATAGATAGTGAACAGTTTTTATTCAACATTGAAATTTGGTCAGTGTTAACTTTCAGCTGTTTTACTGTAGTCTTTAGCCGTCGTCAAGCTAAATGGAATACAAAAGTGATATAAGTGGAACAGTAAACGTAAGTCTTGTGAAAACAGGAGTTTATACATTTTTGTTATATAAACTACGTAACAAACGACATTATGACGTCACGAAAGAATCATGGAGAAGGTAACATAATTCAGGCCCATACTCAGCATGTTTGAAAAGGATGTTTTAATTTGTGAGATCAAAATCCAACACATATTATGTGAAGCATAACCAGCATGCTGATTCTTCATTGGAAGAATGTAGACTATTGTTGCGTCATCGAGATTGCGTGACTATTCTCACGCCCTCTAGTTTCTAGAACTATCTTGTTCCTTCATGAATGCCCTAGCATTTACTAGATAGGGTAGTCTGGTATATATATAAGAGGGTGACAACGTGACGCAAGGAAAGTAATGTGTGTGTGAAGATAGTGAGTAATTGAACTGCAGTCAGAAGTATTATTGACATTCGTTGATATAGCGTTTGTTTTAGCGCGATTGTTGAAAATAAGTGTATCGTAAAGTTGTATTCGGAAAGAATAAACCAGTTTTATTAAGTAAAGAACTTGTGTTGCTAAAGTTTCGTCGGAACGAAGTTACGGAAAGTTAATTAACAAACGGAGACGTAACACTATGTAGAAAGCGTTAAACACTATAAGCAACTGCGCTGTGACTACACAAGCATATTTTTTGACATCACAAAAATAGGGTGTTCTGTCAAACCCTCCCCCGCGTTCGAGGGTATAACTGAATTAAATATGAGAAAGGAAATTATAAAAGATAAATAATTAATATAAACAAGTGGCATTTTTACACGCGTATAAAAACGATTAAGAAAATAAATCTATAAATGATATATATATATATACACACACAAGTAAGTATACACATACTCGTGCATATATGTATATACCTATTACGAATGTAAATAAAACCATATATTTGAGGGCTGACAGTGGACACTAAAATATGTCAAACCATAATACTACGATTTTTCCGGTCTGTTGCTTGTACCTGGTCCACTTTTCAACCAGTCACAGTTTATGTAGGTATGTGATGTTTTTTTTTTTATATATAAATTACAGATACGTAGTGTAACGAATTTATTATAATATATTTATTTTGATATCGACGTTTGTTTAGATTGAATTTATATTTAGAAAAGTACATAGCTTATACTGTTAAATACGTAGTGCGAAACTCCCGCCTATTCTCCAAAGTTGTAGAAGATTCTCGAGAGTAAGAATTAACAATATATGTGTGTGTACGTAAATGCTTAAATTTGTATTGTTACGTAAAACTGAAATTTCTAAAAAGCCTTCCACACGCCTATAAATATAACCAATGCGACGCGCCAAAGGGTGTGTTTGTTATTAGTTCGCTATAGTCAGTGTGCTATAAACTTTTGAAGCTATAACTGTGATTATTATAATGCTTATCAATCGGAAAACTTCAGATATTTGACCAGGAACCTTTACAAAGTTCGAACATTACAAATCGTTTAACTTCAGTGGATTCTCATCTGACATTAATACCTTTATGAAAATATTACCTAACGTCATCGGTGCAAACTCAATCTCTAATAGGCGTACGAATAGTGAAGACTACAGGGCTAGCTAGTTCCCTGTTAAGTGAAATATATTGTTGCGTCAGCGAGGTCACGTGACTAGTGTCACGCGACTTCTCTCGAACCTTCGTGAATTGTCGAGAGATTACTAGATATAGGGTAGTCTGGTATATATAAATGGTCACAACGTGACGGCATCAATGTGTGTGTAGGTAGTGAGTAATTGAACTGCAGTCAGAAAGTATTGTTGAAGTTCGTTGTTATAGCGTTTGTTAGAGAGCGACTGTTGAAAATAAGTGTATCGGTAAAGTTATATTCGGAAAGAATAAACCAGTTTTATTAAGAAAGGACTTGTGTCGCTAAAGTTTCGTGGGAACGAATTTACGGAAAATTAACGAACGAACGGAGACGTAACAAATTGGTGTCAGAAGTGGAACGAAAAAAAAAATGGAAACGAGAGGCGGAAAATCAAACTACAGCTTAGCAGACTTGATGGCAGCAATACAAGAGCAGCAAAAGAAACAATAAGAACGAGAAAAGAAACAAGAAGAGAGACAACAGCAGCTGCAAGAAAACCTGCAACAGTGGCAGATCGAACAGCAAAATAAACAAGAAGAAAGATTACAGCAGTTGTTGGAGGAAAAAGAAAAGAAACAAT